GTGAGGACAGGCCCTCTGGGTGGGGGGACGCCCTCTTGGGGACCCTGTGAGGACATGCCCTCTGGGTGGGGGGACGCCCTCTTGGGGACCCTGTGAGGACAGGCCCTCTGGACACGCTGTGCCCCCAGTTCATGCAGAAGAAGAACCCCCTGTACGTGCTGCTGAAGGAGGACACAGTGTGGAGCATGGAGCGTCTCAACCACCACATCAATGACACCTTTAGGAAGGCCCGGGGCCTCCCCAGGGACTGGGTCTTCACCACTCTCACGGTGCGTCCCAGCGCCTCCCGCCAGGGTGCTGAGACCCCTCAGTCAGGGGTGGCCGGGCTGGAGTGCATGGGGGCTGCTCTAAGGAACGCGCCTGACCTGACCCCGTGGAACGAAGCTCTTCCAGTGTCCCCCCCCACTTAGCTGGTAGCCCGTCCCCAGCAGCCAGCAAAGGCCAGGGGATGAGAAGCCCAGCTGGGGGCCCGCCTCCAGGTCCCTGCAGGCAGCCACACTGCACGGCCCGGGACAGCCAGGGTCGCCTGCCGGGTCCCTCCCACCACGGATGGAGCTTCCATCTCCCTGGCTTCTTTCACTCCGTGTGGTGTTTTCAGGGTTCATCCCTGTAGCCCATGTATCATTTTCTTTCCTTTTTTCTTTTTGAGATGGAGTCTCGCTCTGTCGCCCAGGCTGGAGTGCAGTGGTGCTGGCACAGACTCAAAAGTCAGTTGACCAGAGCTGCCTGGTCCATGTCTGGACCTCAGTTCCGCTCCGTTCGTGTGTGTGTCTGCCCTTACGCTATGCCACCTGGTTTGGATCGCCGTAGCTTTGTAAAGAGTCCTGAAATTGGGACGTGTGAGGCTTTCAATACTGTCCTTTTTCAAGATTGTTTTGGTTCTTCAGGGGTCCCTTACAATTCCACATGAATTTCAGAATTGGCTTTTCCATTTCAGAGGGGCGGGGTCTCAAATAAATAAATAAAAATCCATTGAAAAAAATTTTTTGAGACAGAGTCTCACTCTGTCGCCCAGGCTGGAGTGCAGTGGCGCAGTCTCAGCTCACTGCAACCTCGCCCCCCAGGTTCAAGTGGTTCTCCTGCTTCAGCCGCCAGAGAAGCTGGGATTACAGGCGCGCACCACCACGCCCGGCTAATTTTTGTACTTTTAGTAGAGACAGAGTTTCACGGTGTTGGCCAGGCTGGTTTCAAACTCCTGACCTCAGGTGATCTGCCCACCTCAGCCTCTCATTACAGGTGTGGGATTACAGGTGTGAGCCACCGCGCCCGGCCTCACTGGAATTTTAATAAGCATGACATCGAATCTGTAGGTCACTTTGGGTAGTAGTGACATCTCAACAATATTTTGTCTTCCAATCCATGAATATAAGGAGTCTTTCCATTTTTCTAGGTCTTCAATTTCTTTCAGCAATGTTTTAGGTACAAGTCTGTCATCTAGAGTGAATATTATTCCTAGTATACTTTAGTATTTTGATACTTGTGAATAGAATTATTTTTAATTCTATTCAGGTCTATTTGGTTTAAAAATAAATCCAATTTTTGTGTGTTGGTCTTGTATCCTCCAACTTTGCTGAATTCACTTATTAGCTCTGTGTGCGTGTGTGCGTGTGTGTGCATGCATGTGTGTCTGCATGTGCGTGCGTGTGCACATGTGCATGTGCGTGTGTGTGCATGCATGCGTGTGCGTGCATCTGTGTGTGTGTTCGCGTGAGCGTGCCTGTGCGTGTGTCTGCGTGTGTGGCGTGTGCGCGTGCGGCGTGTGTGCGTGTGCGCACCTGTGCATGTGCGTGCATGCGTGCGCGTGCGTGCATGCATGCATGCTCAAGACTTGTATGTAAGGATCACGTCATCTGGGAACAAGCAGCTTTACGTTTTCCTTTCAAGTCCGTATGCCTGTTGTTTCTTTTCTTACGTATTGCCAGCTAGAGCTTCCAGAGCAGTGCTGAGAAGCGGCAGAAGCAGCCACCCTCCTTTGCGGTCCGAGGAGGGGGCTGTGGGTGTTCCCTAAATGCCCTCATCCCCCTGAGGATGCGCCTTCTACTCCTAATTTGTCAAGTGTTTTTTGTTGATATTATAGAAGCATGTTGAATTTTGTCAACTGCTTTTTCTGTGGCCCCTGAGATGCTCGTGCCGTCTCTTCCCTTCATTCTGTTAGTGTGCTGCATTGCGTTAACGTTCATATGATAAATCCCACTTGACAGTGGTACAGAACCATTTAAATATGCCGCTGGATTTGGTTTGCTAGAATTTTAATGAGGATTTTTGTGTCTGTGATCATAAGCAATATCAGTCTGCGGCATTCTTTTCTTGGAGGTCTTTGGTTTGGGTAGGAGGGTAACGCTGGCCGCACATGTTAGGATGCGTTCCTTCCTCTTTTATTTTTGGAGTCTTTGTGAAGGATCGGTGTTAATTCTTTGTTTGGAATAATTCACCAGTAAAGTCACCTGGGTTTTTCTTTGTGGGAAATTTTATTATTATTGCTAATACTACTGCAATCTTTATCTGTATTAGGTCCATCCAGATTTTTTGATCTTCAGTCTGGTTGGTTTTTCTAGGAATCTGTCCATTTCTTCTAATTTGTTTAGTGTATACAGTATTCCCCCGTCTCGTCTTCATCGATATAAAGTCTTTTCCCCTGATGTTAGTAATTTGATTCTTCTCTCCTTTTTTTCAGTCTATCTAAGGCTTTGTCAATTTTGTTGATCTTTCCAATAACTAACCCCTGGTTTCACTGATTTTCTCTGCTGTTTTCTATTCCATTTATTTCCACTCTAGTCTTTATTATTTCCGTGTTTCTGCCTGCTTTGGGTTTAGTTTTCTCTTCTTTTTCTAATTTCTTAAGGTCAAAAGTTACAATTTCAGTTTTTCCTTCTTGCTTAGGGTAGGTGCTTAGTACTATAAATTTTCCTCTGAGAATGTCTTTGGCTGCATCCCATAGGATTTTGTGTGTTGCCTTCGTTTTCATTTGTCTCAAAGTATTTTTATTTTTGTTTTACATTTTTTTTTTTTTGAGACAGAGTCTTGCCGTGTCACCCAGGCTGGAGTGCAATGGCGTGATCTCTGCTCACTGCAGCCTCCGCCTCCCAGGTTCAAGCCACTCTCAAGGCAGGTGTCTGCCACCACGCCTGGCTGAGTTTTGTATTTTTAGTAGAGATGGGGTTTCACCATGTTGGCCAGGCTGGTCTTGACTTCCTGATCTCAGGTAATCCGCCTGCCTCAACCTCCCAAAGTGCTGGGATTATAGGCGTGAGCCATGACAGCCAGCCACAAAGTATTTTTAAATTTCCTTTGTGAGCTTTTCCTTGACCCATTGGTTGCTTAAGAGCATGTTATTTAATTTCCACATATTTGTTAATTTCCCGTTTCTTTCTGTTTCTAATTCATTCCATTGTGTCAGAGAACATACTTTATAATTTCCACCCTTTAAAAATTATCGAAAAATTATTGGAGCTGGTGTGGTGGCTCACACCTGCAATCCCAGCTGCCTAAGAGGCTGAGATGGAAAGATTGCTTAACCCAGGAATTTGAGTCCAGCCTAGGCAACACAGTGAAACCCCATCTCTACAAAAACAACAAACTTATTGATAATCAAGTGGATCATTAAAAAGCAAAACCAAAAAACACCTGAAACTTGTTGATGTCCAAGCACAGGGTCTATCCTGGTTTAAATTCACGTGCACTTGATGGGGTTTTGGGTGGAGTGTTTTGTAAACGTCTGTCAGGTCTATTTGGTTTAAATTCACGTGCACTTGAGAAGGATGTACCTCGGGCTTCTGGGTGGAGTGTCTCACTGTATTGCCCAGGCTGATCTCAGACTTCTGGGCTCAGGTGATCCTCCCGCCTCAGCCTCCCAAAGTGCTGGGACTACAGGTGTGAGCCTCTGCATCCGGCCGTCACATCTTCTTTTAGTCCTTTCAAGTGGGATCTTCCCAGAAACTACCAGACATAAGAAAACCAACTATTACACCTTGTAAATAAACGAAGCCTATTCTGCCATCTCCAGTCCTGGGGATGCATGCTGTTATTCTTTGAGGCTACCACTGAGCTGGGAAGCAAAGGATGAACCCAGAGCACGTTAAAATACTGCAGTTCCCTGTTCTTGCCCAGATTCCAGATTGTATGTATCCCATTTGCTTTCTGTCTCTTCTACTGAGCGGGCTGCTCAAGAGCAGAGCTTCCCTCACCCCTGTACCCCCAGTGCCTGATACTCGCTGGGAGCTCCGGGAGTTGGTTGAAGGAGCTCCTGGCTGCAGGGCTGTGATGCTGCATGCGGACACGGGAGCAGGTGTGGCTGTGCAGGTGCGGGTCCGATGGTGTGGCTGCTGAGGCCACAGCCACGCTGCCTCCCTGCCCCCTGCAGAAGCGGATGCAGCAGATCATGGTCCACTGCTTCCTGGCCGCCAAGTCCAAGCTGGAGTGCAAGCTGGGTTACTTTGACCTCATCGGCTGTGACTTCCTGATTGACGACAACTTCAAGGTGCTGTCCTGGCAGCGGGGGCATGGTGGGGGCACGCTGGTGGGGAGATGCAGGAGGCAGGGCATGTGCACACCCTGACCACATGGGCAGCCCCAGGTGGAATCTGCTGTCAGCCCCCACCCTGCCTGCACGCAGCCCTGGGGCTGGGTGTGTCCACCAGGCTCCCCTCCTCTGCAGCTGAGATGGACCTGCACCCCTCCCAGGGTACCTGCTCAGGCCAGAGCCTCAGTCCCTCAGAGCCTCGGTGGGCAGACAGGGGAGTGAGGCTACAGAAAAAGAAGGGATCTCCCAGGGCCCCCTTGCTGAGTGAGGACCGGGCCTCTGCCTCCTGCAGGCCCCGTGGGCTCAGGGCAGATGGGGGGTGAATGGGAGAGGGAGCTGAGTGGTGTCTGGTGCAGGTGTGGCTGCTGGAGATGAATTCCAACCCCGCCCTGCACACCAACTGCCAGGTCCTGAAGGAGGTCATCCCAGGTGTGGTCATGGAGACCCTGGGTGAGCCTCGAGGCCCCCACCCCACACCCCCACGGCCTGCCCACCCGCCCTCTTCCCGAGCTCAGACCCCCACAGCCGGGGCTCTCCCACATCCCCAGGGCCTGCGTGGCAGCACCCGCCCGCCCCAACGTCTCCCCACACCTCAGCCCCCCTGGGCCCTCCCCCTCCCCCCTCCCCGCCCCTTCCTGCTCCTCCCACCCCCAGCCTCTGCCCCCACTTACCTTCTCTCTCCCGCCACACCAGACTTGGCGCTGGAGACCTTCCAGAAGAGCTTGCGCGGCCAGAAGATGCTGCCCCTGCGGACCCAGCGCCGATTCGTGCTCCTGCACACCGGTGAGGCCGAGCAGAGGCTGCGTCCTGGGGCCCCGAGCAGCCTTCCCGGCCGGCTCCCCCGTGACCCCCGCCAGGCCGAGTCCTCCGGGCTGCCCACGCCTCACGCCCCAGCCCGGCCGGGTGCCCGCAGACCCACACTACCTCCCTCGGCCCCCTGGCAGCCCCGGCCACCCAGCCCTGGCTCCCGCCCGGGCCCTGACAACGCCCACGACAGGGAGCCCCAGGCCCCAGGCACTGAGCGGCCAGGCGGGGGCGACAGGGACCTGGTGCAAGAGCCTTCCCCAGGGACAGCCCAGGAGGAGCACAAGGAGCTCAGGAACACAAGACCCCAGGGGGGTGGGTCACCCGAGCCCCACCCCCCACCCCACCATGCTGCCCCTGCCACGCTGCCCACCCTCAGGGACCAATAAAGGCTACTTTGTTACAAACATGATCTCTGCACCATCCTGTTGCTTCAGCACCACCAAGCCTATGCCCCAGGGTCACCCCCACCACGCCAGCCGAGTCCTGGGGGGGCTGTGCTGAGGGAGGGGCCCCCACGGCTGGGCTGTGTCCTGGGGGTCGTGCTGAGGGAGGGGGTCCCCACAGCTGGGCTGTGTCCCAGGGGCCGTGCTGAGGGAGGGGAGTCCACACAGCTGGGCTGTGTCCTGGGGGGGCCATGCTGAGGGAGGGGGTCCCCACAGCTGGGCTGTGTCCCGCGGGGGCCGTGCTGAAGGAGGGGGTCCCCACAGCTGGGCTGGGCTCGGCTCCCGCCCCTCACCCTGTGCCCCTGAGCACCTGGACCCCACTGCAGCCCTTCGACCCCACAGCCCCACCGCCTGGCCTGCCATCTGCCACTGCCTGGTGTCCCCAGGAAGGGTCTGCACCCCATAGGCCCCTCTGAACCCTCTGGTGCTCCAAAGGAGGACCCCTCGAGCCCAGGATTGCTGCCCTGGGCACCCACAGGGCTCGCCCCAGCCCGCCAGGCACAGAACCTTCCTGGGCCTCCAGCTCCACGAGCTCCCAGCCCTCCTGCAGCCGGCCCAGGACTCAGCCCCTCGGCCCAGGGCTGAGGGGCACAGGGCGGCTCCCCCGACAGGAGGTCCTGCAGAGGCCGCGCTGAGCCCACACTGGCCCAGCTCTGCTCAACCCCGCGTGGCCACCGACGGTCCCATTCCCCACGGGCCTGGGGGTTTCCAGCAAGAGCTCTGATGGCCCAGCGCCTCTGAAGCCTCCACACTCGCTGCCAAGTGACCAGGGCCCTGTCCTGACCCCGTCACGGCCCCACCCCCTCCCACCGGAGGCCCCCCACACCAGCACAATCCTGCCGCTGAGGCCGCAGTGTGGGGGTCCCAGTGAGACGCTGGGAACACACCTGTCACTGAAGTGGCAGCCCAGGGCCCCAGTCCCCTCCCGGCAAGTGTGGGGTCCCCGGTGAGACACTGGGAACCACCTCCCACCGGAAAGCTGGAGCATGTAGGCCTCTTCCCCATGGCTGGCTCAAGGCCTCTGTGCCCAAGTCAAGACCTGAAGATGAGGGGCCCTGCCCCAGGCCCGCCACCTGAAGCCCTGCCCCCGACGCTCCACACGGCCACAGCCACGGCCCAGTGGACCCTGCCTGGGCCCCGCGTCCACCCCGAGCTCCCACAGCACCTTTCCCGGGATGCGGTGGCTGGCACCATTAGAGGGCAGCACAGCAGGCAGGGCAGCCAGGGCGCCCGGGAGAGGACACAGCGGGACAGAGGGAATGGGGCCCAGAAAGGCCAAAGGAGGCCCCAGGTCTCAGAGCCAGGAAGGAGCTGCCCCAAGCCAGGGCCCCCCTCCACCAGCACAATCCTGCCACTGCGGCCGCAGTGTGGGGTCCCCGGTGAGACGCTGGGAACACACCTGTCACTGAGGTGGCAGCCCAGGGCCGCAGTCCCCTCCCAGCAAGTGTGGGGTCCCCGGTGAGATGCTGGGAACACACCTGTCACTGAGGTGGCAGCCCAGGGCCGCAGTCCCCTCCCAGCAAGTGTGGGGTCCCCGGTGAGATGCTGGGAACACACCTGTCACTGAGG